TAGGCGGTCTAAAAAGCGGTCACGGTCCCGAAGTACTGGAGGTCAAATACTAATGTTACACCACTGTACGAGTCCTGATTGGATATCATGTCGACCTAGGCTTTTCAGACCGCTTTCCAAAATAGTATCTGTAACTTACAGTACCATTGTGAGACATCAGGCTTTGGTCTCTTAATGCGATGACTCATCGAATGTAACGAAGCAAATACCGTCACAGTTCTGCCACCATTACAGAGCGGTGCTCCAAAAGGGGCTTAGCGTCAACCGGGCATATTTTCCAGCAATCAAGTCGAGAGAGTGAGGTATAACTGATTTCGAAAACTACTGTACCCGACACAGATTCCCCAGGGCCGTTCAACCCAGGGAAAAAAGAATATATGCTCTCCTATAGTCTCGCCAGATGTCGAACCAAACCAAGCTAGTCGACACTCTATCTATTGCACCTCTTCGGGGGAGAAAAAGCGAACGTTGACATGTAGAAATTATAGCTAGCCTGAGTAGAAATTAAGGGAGAATCTGGACCCGTCCACTTCAAGCCGGAGGGATTGTCGTTATTGGGGTTAAAAAACATTCATTCGAGGGAGACCCCCGGTCCCATATTCTGCAGGCTCGGTTTCATCCTAGATAATATGTCGCGGATCCAGGTCCGTGGCAAGACATGAGGGCGTTGTCGATATACCAGAAGACTTCTGCCAGATGGCGTGAAGGTCAAGATCGAAATCACAGTCACTAACTTTAGCACAAAACACGCATTGAAGAAACATGTACGGACAATACTCGCTCATTTCGTCCATTTCAATTCAGGATCTGCTGGTGGGAAATTACAGAAGTGTATAAAGTAGCATTTGACGGGTTGGGAGGGACAAGATGCCGCAATCTGAGCAGAGATCTTATTTATCTTCAATTATAGAAGACCAGGGCACGTTAGGAGGGCTTTACGGCAGATCCTAAGAAAACCAAGCGCTGGAAATATCAACAGCTGTGGAACGTTGACACTTCGTTACAGAACCCAATTAATTTCATCCGCAATTGCATTCGCATTCTCTATAATCAGCGAAAATAACTGGTACAGAGCACCAATACATAGCAGTAATATCCAAACGTGTCCTTATCCATGAGCCCCAAACAAAACTGAGACCTTATCAATTCCCATCAACGTGATAGGCTTGAGGATCGCTCGCTTGCAAGGCTGAAATCACACCGTTACAAAGGGCCTGAACTGCTCGTTTCCGATCCCACAATACCAATTTCTGTTCCTCGCAAAGCTGCAGAAGGATGTCACTGTCGCTTGCTAGCCACTCATTCAACTCTTGAAGCTGTCGCTGCTCATCCTCAAGTCGCATCTTCTCGGCAGATTTGACCACGTAGCATTCCCATAGGCAAAAGTACAGGTCGAGCAGTTTCAGGGCTGGCGTAGCGAGGGTGTCATTGTATTGTAGAATTTTCATAAACTCCGCCGTCAGGGCACCAGGTGTCACTGGGATCTGCAGAGTATTAGTGTTTCTGTTCATTTCCTGCCGAAGAGGTATGACCGACCTTGGGTTCGACGATTGTGCCGTTTGAAGATTCTTGTGTGTGGTTTTCCAACTTGGAATCATCTTCTCCATCTTGGGATACCAGACGCTGTCTCTTGGCTGGCCGGTCAATTGGGGAAGGCGAGGTGGGATGGTCCATCGTGGCTGTGGAAATGAAATGGAGGAAAAGTTCTGCTCGAGAGCCCTTTATAGACCGGCAAATTCACACCAAGGCTGCTGTGATTGCACTCATAACGCCTCGGGTCTGGTTTTCAACAGCGTTGAATAGTTCAGTAAACAGTTACCTCAAACGTTGATGCTCGATCTCACCTGTTGTTCACCCAAATACTCAGTTATATGAGGAATTGGGCGACAGGTGAAGCCTTACAACATACATTGCAGATGATATCCCTAATGGTGGCCTGCAAGTGTATTCCTGATGCATTGGATTCCTAAATCGAGTAGAGTTCGTTGAAGTTAATTGTAACGTTATTGTGACTGCGAACCATCTGAAGGACGGTGATGCAGATTTCGATTTCAGATAGCGCTTCATATCACGAGAGTTACCTAAATTAAATATCACTCGCTTTTACAGTCCACGGCCCATGTGTCTTCCTGGCAACGGCGCCAAAATCGTTTGACCGGAGTTATCGTCTTCTATCCGGTTCCCAATAATCCTTCGGATGTAATAGTCACTTCCCAACTCTAAAGATCTCCTCAAACTACCATTTTGTCGGTCTTCTACACACTACAAGCGCAATACAATTGGGACTTATCAAAAAAAATGTTAACTTCTTGTTTCCCAAAGCTTGAGTTAAAGCTTCAAAATTTATTCAAAGTCTTTTCTCCCAGTCGATCAAAATATCTCCCAGATATCCCTGCCACCGCTTCTGAATCCGAACGCACGCGGCGATCAGCTGCCCCGTCCCCAGAGGTTCCCCAACAAACATGAAAAAATCATGAAAAAGAAACAACAGACACCTCGATTGACTTGCAGTCCATCACCACAGAGCGTCACAAAACAGAGTCAAGCTCAACTCATGATCTGACTTAGATCCCGCGAGGAGAGTAGCAGGCTGCGGGTGGGTTGTGCAAAAGCAAAAGCTTTCGGGTGGCCACTTCCGTGGGAAACATGTGACAGTTGCCAGAGAACATCAATCAACTTTCTTTATCGGAGAACACCGTGCTTATCACTGGAGGCATGTAACGGATACAGCTCAACTGAAGGGGTTCCTCGTCTGGAGGAGATCCGGACGACGGATTTTCACGGCTCCGGCCAACTTAAGCACCCCTCGATTTGCCTCTTCGGGCAGTCTTTCCTTGTTTTTGAGAAGGCCTCATCGGGGAATACCCCCATATCAACGCTGTAGGGCATGCTGCTTGGCCATGCATGTACCAATAGAGGCGAATCATGAATTTTCGATTGACCCATGACATCTTTGGCTTGATCCAGTCGAGCATCTAACAAACGCAAATTTTGGTCGGCCCACACCTTCCGTCGAGAGCTATGGCGTCTGCACTCAAAACAAAAAAGTTGCTTTGCAGCCAAAGATAATCTCTGCGCTAAATGATATGCGAAAGAAGAGTTCTGGGAGAGCTGAAAGCACAATATGTCAGAAATATGGTGGATCTGCGTGTGGATTTCTGGGTATTTACCCAGAATATCTTACGACATCAGATCAGACACATCACATAAAAGTGCATATTACTCTTTGTCAGCATATCCTACAAAATTGTCAAGTTCATAGTTTTTAGTTAGAGAGAGAGTTTAATATTACCGTTCTGGAACCCATACAATGTTGGTCACTAATTACTGTTACAATACTCCATATATCCGGGATTCAATCGGCACGGTGTTTTGAAAGTGATACCTGTCATTTGCAACCCATATGCACCGCTCACGGTGTAAGGGATCGCCCAATGTTTGGCCCAATACCCATTGGAGATGAGTAGGATTCCAGGCCATGACGAGGAATAGCTGTAAATGCGTCTCAGGATGATTGTGACATTCTGGGGTGTGGCATCTGTAATCATGTAGGAAGAGCGAATTATATAGATATTTGAGAAAGCACATAGTAGGACTTTGCATCTCGCCGGGCCCTTACATGCCTGAGCGTGATGTCTGGGCCTATTTGGGCACCAAGGTTTGTCGTCTCATTCCTGGAAAGACGGTATTAATTCCTGGGGGCTCTAGTCGCATTATTCAGGGTTATACATGAAGCATACGCGATGCGTTGGAGAAATGATATGTGGGACGTCCATCTGGGCTCCTTGAACGCGAGGAACTAGAGGCGGCTTTCTCGCGCTACGTCTCGTATCCAGAGTCAACTATGTTGTTCTTAATATTGATTATTCACTTCGAGACAATATCAGCCTCTAGGTATACGTGAGACCATCGCACCCGAACCAAAAGCTATTGGGAGTATCGCTTCATTTCCAGAAAGAAACCGAGTCCCAATAGTTCTAACGCACCGGTACCTTGTCTGGGGTTTCAGCTAAGTGCAACCTGGCTGAGTGTGAAGACACCCAACTTTGAGCGGTAAGCTGTCACGGCTGGCAGTTTACAACCTAGCAGGGAAGTATCCGCTAGCGACGCGAGTTATGATCCTGTCGATTTTAGTCGCCCTCGATACCAATTGCTGTCACGCTTCCTACGGGCACCAGGCACCACAACATCGCCTTTGTGAATATACAATTGTGTAGTCCTAGTAAACCACACCTCGATAGGGCGGGATTTTGAATGTCTAATACAGTCTTATGTCCAAGCTAAGCCTAGGATGATCGTTATGGAAAGGGCAGGGTACGATGAGGGGTTTCATATGGCGCGCCCCCTCTTGTCTGGCTTTTGCTCTCTGGTCGTCTTGAGTATCACGGTGGCTGTGTTGAGTATCATGGTGGTTGAAGCTTATGGCACGGATTGGGAACAGATATATCCCCGCCCCTGTAAAAATAACTCCTTTAGTCAATTAATAGAATCAATCAGACAATCACTTATTTAAACAGACCGGGTCTTACAGGACAAATTTCCTCTTAAGAGGATCCTCTCAAGTAAGTTTTCCTCTCAAAAAAGGGTTTTTGGTTTGAAATGACACGGCAAAACCTCCAGAACAGCGTAAAACAGTTTAATCATGATGAACTAACTACAATGTACATTTTCCCCATTCGATTGAGTATCGATTGAGCATGTTGCCATCCCCATCCACCATGCTTCACACAAAGCAAGCTCTACTAGTATGGTGCGTTTGGACTGGCTTCAAAATTACTGGGGCATTGAATACCTGGCAAAGAGGAAGCTCTAGTGCCAGGGCAGATCTGTTCACCGCCGAAATCAAAAGCATAGCATACTCCCCATATCCCTAAAAGCGGTCAGTGACTACTACGTTGTATTAGAGGTATCAAAAAATCAAGACATACCGGCCGCACTACAAGCATCGCCTCCGCACCCCACATTTGTCATAGGGGTAGTGTATTGTCCAGTTGAAGCATTTAAGTCATCCGATGAGCAAAGACTTCCATCATCAGAGACAGAAACCGTCTGAATTATAGTTAATGATGATCTCGTGCCATAATAGGGTGAACTTACATATGTCTTGACCTGTGAGACAGTGAAATATGGCTGAAAATACAATATACATGCGGCACCATCCGCGCATTGTAAATCGTACCCAGTCGTTGTCACTGTTCTGATGCAAATACTCAGTACGATATCTAGAATCTTTCCTCCTGACTGAAGCAATAGATGAACTTACCCTGAAGCTTGGGTGAATTGACCCGTGGGCACAAGCTTTTCGACAGCATCTCCGAGATAACTTGTAGGCTTCATGCTTGTGTTAAATATTGTATACGTAGTAAGATAGAGTGGTTTGCTCACATGAAAAACACCGAGCTGAATAGCAAAGCCTCTCTGGAAGGACCGAGAAGTGGATGATGTGATTGTGCCTGGTCCACACTCATCGTCACTCATCTGATGCTGATTACCTTTGATGACATAGTATGAGGTAATTTCCTCGGTATTTCTTGTCTTGCAACTTCTAGCCTTTAGCTGGCCCTTATGCCTGTAGCAATGTATGAGAAGAAGGTCTGAAAAGTGTAATACAAGAATCCATTGACCACTCATGGTAGAGCACTTACCGATTCCTTCTTTTCAGTAGTTCGTTGCTTACAGAATCAATGCCGTCAGCGATATCTGCTTCCGTAAATAAGCTTGGCTTTTCGATCTCGGCAGTTTGGCGGTTCTGGTTCATGGACAAGGCGTCTTCCTTTACATGCAATACACCACAGCTGGCCAGCTTAATGGTCAGTCCACAAAGCAACAGCCAGATGCGAAGGTGTATCATGGTTTTAATTTTAAATATAACCAGGCGGTTAACTGAGTAAAGAGTTTAGGTCACGATCACGAGTTCGGAGGCAAAGCTTCTCTTTTACATCTGCATAGTTAAATTATACTGTACAAGGAAGAAGCGGTTTATATATGTTTTTTTTGCATTTACCGGGAGGACCTACTCACAGCCTTCTGGTATCGAATTGTAAGCGAATTGCATATTTACCTGGAATACAAATGAAGGTACACTATGACTGCTGTCCAAGCTCTGGGACTGAGCATCGAAGTGTCTAGGGTGACTCTCTAGCCTAGTAAGATGTCATTTACAAGCAATAGCCGAAACCGGTAAACTTATTTTCCCTAAATGAGCTGTATTACGGAAGTTTCACTTCGGATCTTTAGTGTACTTAATAAGATCCTCCTACTTACCATATTTCGCGGGGCCCCTCTCCAAGCCCCGTGATACGTTGGGGCCCCGCAATGGCTTGTGCCAGCACTGTAACATGCCCCGCTATTACGCGTCTTCTCCACATTACACCAAAGCAGACTCAGAAACTGGCGAATTAAGCTTAAGAACTCTGTAGGTGTAGGACTAGTCCAGTGTTCCATATGGAGCTCACTATGAGGGTTTTAGGAGCACTTTGCCCTGAAAACATTACTTACGCGCCCAGCTTGCAATTAGCCCAATAGGCTTTTGCCAACTCGTTTTCAACTGCCACTCTTTAAAGCTAGTTCATAACTTAGTTCGTAGTGTGCCGAGTACGGTGTAATATACTATCTAGCACGACGATAAGTACGATTGACGCAAGCGAGGACATAGCGGTGGAAGTCTGTTGTTTCGCGTTATAGCCTAAAATTATATGCAAAGTGAGGAAGGCTGTTGTACAAGCTAAGCTGTAATCTAAAGTATTCCGATTCTATTGCGGTGGTGCTCTACCTTGAGCTTAAGGGAAGTGTATTACTATACAAATAGGCGTGAAGAAAGTGTTGAAATATCTGACTATGGAGGTTCTCTTGGCAAGAAGTTTTTTTTTTGTCATTGAAATGAGGTGTTTTAATTCTGACTCTCTGAAGAGGTACTTCTACAGCTATTTGTAGTAGTAAAAATACAATAAGCGAGAGTGCGACGGACCTGCAAGAGTTCCATGGTACAAAACATCTAATAAGCCCTATATGGTCGTTGCGCATGAATTCAGAGATGCTGTGGCCTCAGGCTCACTGAGCCAATATCTCAACAGAAAGAAAGGGGTTACGATAGCAGCTTGTAGCGCATCAATGTGCTTGCTTACACACTTGCCATGGACCCGTTATATATATCGGAGTTTTCCTGCGATGTTAGCATGTAAAAGAACCTCTTGCATTCATCCTACAGTAGCAAGTCAGCCTTACTCACAACGACTATACATTATCAGTTTTAAAGTTTTAAACTTTACATGTACTTTATTCTCTGCACTCTTAAGGTCTTCTGTACCACAGTTATAAACCAGCACAAAATGCTGACTTAGTCTTAGAGTGTCTGACGGCAAAGAGTTCCAACAGTGCTGTAACGGCTGGAGGGTCAGCAAGACTACAGACTGTTGTAACCAGATGGTATTGTCTGGGGGCTATAAAACAGGTTAGTACGTATCCAATTTTCATCCGTCTGTATTAATAAAGCTTCCACGGTGTGGGCATCTCCTGGGGAGACAGACAATGGCTATGCATATTTACTTGTAAGTGTGACCACAACGAGGTGACATACCCAGGCTATTATGGAAACCAGACCGATTACCTGAAGTGTGTTGCGAACTCTGATCACGAGATCAGCGCAGATGCGTGGGCAGATGCTGGATGTGTGAATGATTGCGGGGAGGATTGGTATTATGTCGAATAAAGCAGTGGACTGTAGTTACAGTATCGCTGGTGCTTACTGTACGCGTGGGCGACAAATGGGCATTTTTCTGAGAGAGGGGGATGATGGTGTCGAACTCATACCCGTATAACGGCCATACTCGAAAGCGTGTCAGGATAATCCTCGCCAATCTTTATCTTGCTCCTCCCTATCACCTGTATAAAAAGCCGCTTGGCTTTCTTCTACCGTCCCTTGTTCCCATACATTGATGCAAGATTGGCCATTTTCGTCAGTGTACCTTAAGGTGTGAAGGGTCGGCAAACTAATGATCTGCTTACGTGATAAATGACCTCCTAGCGTAGTAGCACTGTTCCTAGGAGTTGTGTACAAGCAACCAGCAACATGAGCAATTTATTGACAGAGGCTATATGAATGCTTTTTCGCGTGCGGTCGGAAGTAATTTGAAAGTTTTGGTTTTATCGCTTGTCAAGCCACCCCACTATACGATGCGATTTTTGTTACTTTGTAACGTCGAGTTATTCAACGAGTGATTTTTAGAAGTAGATGAAAAGGGATAATGTTGTTATCCGACGGTAGCATATTTGCCGACACAATAGGGGGCATAGTAGCGGGCATGGCAGCGGACATAGCTGCCGACAGTGGTACAACTGTATAATATAATTAAAAACAGGAGTGTGTCAGCCGTGTAAGAGTCGTATGATAGTCTACAATAGAATATATGAGCGAGATTTAGGCAGAAGCGGATATGTGTTGGATATCCAAATTGTACAATATGCCGCAGCATTGACTATACATGGGTCATTCGCAGCAACCGGGTCAGCCGCGTATAATTCAACACAGGCGACGCCCCAGCTCAGGAAAGTAATGGTATTGACTGCTTTGTCTGAAATATCCAGAGATCAAGGTTCTGGGGAGTGAACCACATCCTATTTTGGTTGTGAAGCGAATTGACCTTTGAAATCGGTCGTTTCGTCCAATGCCTGCTGGTCCCACTCTAGGTCCCGTGGCATACCTATGGGCACGCGACTCTTCGGTTCTGTCAGGGTTGTGGATCTAGTTACGTAATTAGATAATACGGCTTGTCATCCTGGATCTTAGCCAGCGCACGGCATTTTGCTTGTGAAATGAGATAGACAGTGACACGGGAGGGAAGAGGTCATTGGTTGACAAAAAGTACGTCTGATTACGTGATCAAAGAGGTTCGCCGACCTACAGCTGGTCCTTCAGGGGGTTTGGCCCTACTGAGGCTTACAGAAAGCTCGGAGGAAGCTTGTCAACTGAGAAGGCACTCCAACATGGTGTATTACGATTTGTCATCTTAATTAGTTACAGATGTTAAATACTTAACCCTTGGTGATGAAATATATTGTCGTACTGTATATTTCTGTCAATTACTACTATTTACTAATCGCGACGGATCATCGTTTCCGACCCCCTCGCTTCGGTGATGTAGTGGTCGGATTTCAGGTTTTAACTACCAGAAAAAAGAAATCCATCGCAGTGGGCCAAGTTTGCGGAGCACCCCGACGGCCGACATTCTGCCATAGCCAAGTCAGCTTCCTTCGGGGTGGGCCGCCAATGATGGCCGCGTCGGGCGTCCCGTATTTGCACGCATTGGGGAATCGGTGACTACCCAAGACCGGGGTATAATAATGTCTCACTCTTCTCCACAGTACAGAGGATTTCGAAAACAATTTACCCCCAGACACACCCGTTTTCTTTTCCCAGAGACCCACAAAGACGTCTAGTCCGGATCGCTGGGTTCAGATTCCGCCGCAGCCAATAGTACGGTTGTTACGCCTCAAGGAAGGTACCTCAGCTAGCCATATTTAGATTAGCGCATTCTGAGTGGGGCGCTGGGAAAGAAAGCGTGTGTGTCTGGGGGTAAACTGTTTTCGAAATCCTCTGTAGTTGGCCTGAACTGTACACACGGAGGACAACCGGTCGAAATGAAACCCGCTGTATGTCGAAACACCAGTTTCGGGCTCGATGAAAAGCAGCGCAGATTGGTACACGGAACTACTTGCTGTTGATCTTCGAGCGCCCGGAATATTGTGTGAGTGTGAGCGTGCCACGTGGCGACGGAATCGATTTTGAATAATGGCGGGACGGACCGCGATGCGAACCCCTGAACCGCCCGACCGTGACGACGAACGCGAAGATTCACCGCCACGATTGTCGAGGCCGAGACGCACTACCCGACCACCCAGTAATCATGCTCGGGATCAAGAGATCGACAACCAGCAGAGAACGACACGGTCTCAACTGAGAAAGAAAACCCAAGACAAGCCAGTAACCCAACGTAACGCGGTCACTTCGGACGACTCCGCAACGGAGAGCGAGTACCTCAACGTCGCCGCACTCGTGAAGGAGCTCATCAAACTCAGGCGAGAGATCAGGCGTCGCGATGAATGCACAAGAAAGAGCTTCAGAAGGTTAAAGAAGAATTTAGTGTTGCCCTTGCCGAAGTCCGACAGGAGCTACAGACCCAGACAGATAGACCTTCGACACCGCAATCCCACGTGGAGGCATGCGCTCAGAATAGCCACGATGAGATCCTCCGCGAGATTCAATCCTTGCGCGATGCCATCAGCCCTTCCGTTGCCACTGGCTCCCCGTCCTATGCAGATATCGCCCGTACTCCTCCACTCAGTCACCCGAGCAACATACGGACGCTCTCGACGTCGAATACAACACCGACCACTTTCACCGACACGTTGTATTGCACAATAGATACCTTGAAAATGGCAGAAAATGAAAACGAGAGGATTTCCGCAGGCCCAATCCGGACGGCGGTCGAGAGAGAGATTCGGACGATGGAAGGCCACACGCACTGGCGCTGTCGCGCTGTTACCGTGGACCCGAAGAACATCAACTGAATCAGAATAGCGTGCCGCGACGAAGATGAACACCAGCTGGTCAAGAAAGTGGCGGAAGCAAAGATCGGCGCGGGAGCCCGGGTACTCCGTGACGAGCTCTACCCGATCAAAGTTGACAGCGTCAACAAGGCCGCCGTGCTAGATGAAAAAGATGAGATCCGAGCCGAAGCCGCAGCAGCCTTGAGCGAAGAGAATGAAGCTACCGTGGCTAAGATCGCATGGCTTAGCAGAAAGGATAGTGCGAAGGCATATGGGTCCATGGTCGTTTACCTGACTAAAGGCACTGACGCACGGAGGCTTCTGGCTGACGGGTTCTTTCATGCTGGAGGAGAATCTGGCGTGACAAGTACCTTCGAGTATCGACCTCGACCGATGCAATGTTACAATTGCCAGAAAATTGGACACAAGGCATTCCAGTGCAAGAACACCCAGAAATACGCCAAGTGCGCCGCGGAGGGCCACCGCCACAGTCGCTGCGACCAAACGGTTCCGAAGTGCGTTCCATGCGGGGGCCCTCATGAATCGTTCAGCAAAAATTGTCGGAAACTCTACCCTTCACGACATGAATAAAAGCGTTCGAATCATTCAACTGAATGTGAGGAAACAGGGAGCAGTGCATGACAGTATGATGAGCGATGAAGAGACCCGGGACGCAGTGGCACTAGCGATTCAGGAACCTCAAGCGAGGAGAATCCAAGGGCGGCTCCTGACAACCCCGATGGGACATCACAAATGGACCAAGATGGTCTCCTCCACTTGGAGGGAGGGCCGATGGGCAATCCGAAGTATGCTGTGGATCAATAGGGATGTGGAAGCGGAGCAAGTGCCGATCGAGTCGCCCGACCTGACCGCAGCGGTTATCCGCCTCCCGGAGCGCCTGATATTTATGGCATCAGTCTACGTAGAGGGAGGAGATGCCGCAGCGTTGGACGACGCATGTGATCGCCTCAGAAAAGCGATCAGTAAGGTACGGCAAGATGCGGGAACAGTGGTGGAGATCGTGATCGTGGGGGACTTTAACCGCCACGATCAGCTCTGGGGAGGAGACGACGTATCTTTAACAAGACAAGGAGAAGCGGATCCAATCATCAACCTCATGAGTGAATTCGCTCTCTGTAGCCTGCTCAAACGAGGCACGAAGACATGGCACGGTGGAGGGCAGAGTGGGGACTGCGAGTCCACTATCGACCTCGTCCTGGCCTCAGCCAGCTTGACAGACTCGATGGTCAAGTGCGCAACACACGGAACGGAGCACGGCTCGGACCACCGCGCTATTGAGACCATTTTCGACGCCCCATGGCCAGCTCCACAGCACCCGGAACGACTTTTGCTGAAAAACGCGCCATGGAAGGAAATCAACGCGCGAATTGCGAGCGCCTTAGCCACCACTCCTTCGGGAGGCACGGTGCAGCAGAAAACCGACCGGCTCATGTCTGCGGTGTCGGAGGCGGTGCATGTTTTGACGCCGAGGGCCAAACCGTCGCCACAAGCAAAGCGATGGTGGACGGCGGACCTAACACAACTCCGTCAGATATACACATATTGGAGAAACCACGCCCGCTTGGAGCCACGAGCAGGGCGAAAGGCACCACACCTGGAAAATATGGCCGCAAGTGCGGCGAAACAATACCACGATGCTATTCGCAAACAAAAGAAGAAGCACTGGAATGAGTTCCTGGCGGACAACGATAATATATGGAAAGCCGCGAAATACCTGAAGTCGGGAGATGATACAGCATTCGGGAAGGTCCCACAGCTCCTCAGGGCGGATGGAACTATGACCGCCGATCATAAAGAGCAAGCGGAGGAACTACTGACCAAATTCTTCCCGCCACTGCCGGACAGAATTGACGATGAAGGGACCAGGCCGCAGAGAGCGCCCGTGGAGATGTCTGCCATCACTATGGAAGAGGTCGAACGGCAGCTGTTGGCGACAAAATCTTGGAAAGCACGTGGTGAAGATGGCCTACCAGCGATAGTGTGGAAGATGACGTGGCCCGTGGTCAAGCACGAGGTCCTGGAGCTATTCCAAGCGTCGCTGGAAGAAGGCACGTTGCCTGAGCAGTGGAGACATGCGAAGATCATACCGCTCAACAAACCGAACAAAGAGAACTATACCATTGCGAATGCCTGGAGGCCGATTTCCCTCCTAGCAACATTGGGAAAGATACTGGAATCAGTGGTAGCAGAAAGGATCTCACACGCGGTGGAGACGTATGGCCTGCTTCCGACCAGCCACTTCGGGGCCCGAAAGCAGCGGTCCACGGAGCAAGCACTCCTACTCTTGCAAGAGCAAATATACGCGGCATGGCGTGGCCGACGCGTCTTGAGCCTGATCAGTTTCGACGTCAAAGGAGCCTACAATGGGGTCTGTAAGGCACGATTGATCCAGAGGATGAAAGCGCGAGGTATACCAGAGGCTCTGCTTCGGTGGGTCGAGGCGTTCTGCTCGGAGCGAACGGCGACCATCCAAATCAATGGGCAAGCATCGGAGGCCCCAAACCTCCCACAGGCTGGACTGCCTCAGGGCTCACCCCTGGCCCCAATCCTCTTCCTCTTCTTCAACGCAGATCTCGTACAACGACAGATCGACAGCCAGGGAGGAGCGATGGCCTTCGTGGATGACTTTACCGCGTGGGTGACCGGACTGACTGCGCAGAGCAACCGGCAAGGTATTGAAACGATCGTCAATGAAGCACTCGACTGGGAAAGAAGAAGTGGAGCGACTTTTGAAGCAGAGAAAACTGCAATTATACACTTCGCCCCCAAGGCCCACAAATCGGATTCAGAGCCATTCACCATTAAGGGAGAGACCGTTGAACCCAGAGACCATGTCAAGATTCTTGGCGTCATAATGGATACGAGACTCAAATACAAGGAACACATCGCGAGGGCAGCGTCCAAGGGACTTGAGGCGGCGATGGAGCTTCGGCGGCTTCGGGTCTATCCCCCGCAACAGCGCGACAGCTATTCACCTCGTCGGTGGCCCCGGTGGTGGACTATGCCTCCAATGTCTGGATGCACGCTTTCAAGAATAAGAACATCGGGCCGATCAACAGAGTCCAGAGGGTAGGAGCGCAAGCGATTGTCGGGACATTCCTCACAGTTGCGACCAGCGTAGCGGAAGCGGAGGCTCACATCGCCACGGTGCAACACCGGCTCTGGAGACGAGCTGCGAAGATGTGGACGGACACGCACACTCTACCGGTAACCAATCCACTCCGCAGGAGTACAGCTCAGATCAAGAAGTTCAGAAGATACCACCGTTCGCCATTGTATCAGGTCGCAGACGTGCTGAAAAGCATTGAGATGGAAACCCTGGAGACCGTCAATCCATTCACATTGGCACCATGGGAGGAACGTGTACAGGGAGATGGTCAAGATCTACCAGAGACACTGACCGAAACGGGCGGGGTCATGCGGATCGCGGTCAGCAGTTCGGCGCGGAATGAGATGGTAGGATTTGGCGTGGCGATTGAGAAGCGGCCACCTCGGTAGCGAATACCGAGGCTGAAAACCTTCTCCGTCACGCTGGGTGCAAGAAATGAGCAGAATCCATACTCTGGGGAATTGGCAGCAATGGCACACGCATTGAACACGCTGCGAGGACTGAAACGGTGCAGAGTCACGCTGCTCACGAGTAACAGAGCGGCGGCCCTCACGCTGAAGAATCCTCGACAACAGTCGGGCCGGGAACACATCTGCCAGATATACAAGTTGATCCAAAGACTACGGAGACACGACAACCGGATAGACATCCGCTGGGTCCCAACCAGCGAGAAGAACGAATTGGGCCTGGCGAAAGAGCAGGCAAGGTCCGCGACTCAAGAGGACACTACCCCACAAGCACAGGTCCCCCGAATGAAGTCGACCACCCTGAACATTGTACGATCCCAAGTCGCGGCCAGTCAATGCTTGCCGGAGAACGTAGGCAGACATTCCAAACGAGTAGATGCAGCACTCCCAGGGAAACACACGCGGAAGCTGTACGATCGGTTGTCGTGGAAGGAAGCGAGCGTACTGGCCCAACTCCGGACTGGCATGGCTAGACTCAACGAATATCTCCATCGAATCAATGTCGCAGAGTCAGATCAGTGTGCATGTGGACAAGCAAGAGAGACCGTGGAGCACTTCCTCTTTCGATGTCAGCGGTGGACCACGCACCGGACGGAAATGCTGCAATGTACTCAGACTCACCGAGGCAACATATCCTTTTTCCTAGGCGGAAAATCGCCTTTGGATGACCAGAACTGGAAGCCGAATTTGGAAGCAGTGCGAGCCATAGTACGGTTTGCAATCGTCACGGGCCGACTCGACGCCGCTTAACCGTGTCGACCAACCCAGATTAACCCTATCCCGCCCCAACCCCAATCTAACCCCCACCAACTACCTTGTGCCAGAGCCGGTAGACGCGCTTCAGTTGCCTAGGATAGGATGTTGAACACTTGGAGAATCGCCGTCAAGCAAGTCTACTAACTCAACACTAACCCACAAGGACCCTCTAAGATATTGACATCTGAGATGACATACACTGAAAAGAATCTTGTATGGGCTGCAAGGAGACATAGCATTAGCTAAGACGTGTATATTTAGATCTGTGATAGTTGCCCTTTCGGTTCAGCCGCCGGGCGTTAATGAATTGTGTGTGTGTGTGTGTGTAGGTTTCACCCGCTTGAATACGTCCAACGGCTCAGCAAGGCGGAGTACGATCAGGTAAAACAGTGTCGGTCGGTGATTCTTTAGCTCGTGGCTCTTGAGTCGGCTCGGCTGTGACTCGCGACTAGATGATCTCCTTTTCTCGATTCGTAGGTGATATGGTAATGTTAATCTGAGGGCTCGATATGACGGGGCCTTTGCCTCACTTCTCCTTGCACACAGACTTGGACTAACAATCTGGCCGTCTGCGAATGTATGTCTCACCTGCCATCAAGCCAGAAAAATCAACCAGCGCTCCCCGGGTTTTTCAGATTTCCAGGCATCGAAAGATACGAGAAGTCAACCGAGGACAATGAGGATCACCCAATGGACGCCATGATTTTAACCCACAAGAAACTGTTCTTTCGGATACCGAGACGCACGGTGGTGCAAGCCCATTGTGGCTTGGACTCTGTACCAGGTAGACACATCAGCACATGACTGATGCACAGAGTCGACTGAGAGAATGGCCGAGACGATCTGAACATTACTTTGGCTCATCATCGATGCCACCAGTAGTTATGTGGAAATGATAGACAGCATGCGATCGCATCGGTATAGGGGAGCTCAGGCAGACAAGACATTTGCCTCGCTTCGCATTCTACTGAGTGACGGGAATATGAGGGGCCTCCTGTTGTACGTCCGAGTCAGCAAGGCTTACCACTTGGACGAGTTGTTATGACTCACCTGTTCATAGATGTTCGCTTGAGACAAGACGATCAATTAGCTTCGTGGCCGTATCTTACCGACGAGATCACTTACAATTGTCTTCATCAATGCAGTCACCATTCATGCCAATTGACATGATGTTGTATCCAGTTCGTCGCACTCTCCGGCTGTCGCTTCGGATAAGCCGCGCTGGGTGCACCGGGCAATTTCTGAGCCCCAAGCGCACGTGACGAACCCACCTGTGACAAGAAATTGTACAGTCGTAATGGGACAAGACCTCGCGATGAGTACGGCGAGAGGTTCATACACCCCGCCGTTCACGGTGTGAGGGCGGTGAGGTTGAGGCGGAAGACGCGATGGATCACGCGTCGTAGTGACGCCTTGGTCTTATCTCCGATGCGGCGATAGAACTCCCAACAGCGATGTTTCACATTGGGGATGGGCTGCTCCTAATTCCAATAGCATGAAAATCGGCAGTGTCCATGTTTTGGAGCACAAAAATTTGCGCGAACAACTGATATAGCACAGCAGAGGGCGCGACAAATCACTCACACTACCAGGATGAATGGACTTCCTTGCAGTCAAGCTCGCAATCGAATGTCCATACCTGTTATTGGTATTACTCCACCTAAGGTATGCTGGCTAGTCTTAAGCGACGGGACCAGGAAAGATGTGTAGGCCATGGCTTGTGCAGAGCACTAACAGGAGTGCGGTAGCCTCGGGGGCACTCTAATGCGATGTCCTTAGTTCACTGTCATTCATTAGCTTTCAGATCGGCGAGATAGTGAATGACTCACATGTTCTGGTGGCCAAAAAGAGACGGCAAAAAGCTGTGGCCCTTGCGCTCGTGCCTTGTTGTCGAATTTCCTCGGTTATATTTAAATCGCATCGACTTCAGGATCAGTAGAATCCAGACAAGTCAGGCTAAGATTCACATAACTGCGACGCGGGTATTCGCGCTCTCTTGGGAATACGCACAGAGGCTGTACAGTAGGTCAGCTCAGTCGGCTGCTGTGGCGGAGGCATCTTCGCATAGACATCTTTAATCGGCTAGTGTGGATAGCAGTGCATCTGGTGGGAATCATACCTGTATCTCTCACAAGCACTGTCTGGCTTGCTAATCCACGATGTATTCAATGAATGTCAGTACAGTGGCAATTTCAGTATGGGGTCAATGGGGAAGAACTTCTCAAGTGGCTCAGACACAAGCCTTCTCGAATTTGCAGAGTCGGGAGAATAAATTGTAGAGCAAATTGCCGGGGTAGAGGACGTATTTATAGGCTTATCGGCTTCTGTGACTTACAAGCTTTGTACCTATCCTAATTGAGGTCCATTGAAACTCATGTTTTCTTTTTGCCGCAATATTTGCAGCGACATCTTTGATGCCTTGAGATGCTTAGTGAGAGAGAGAGTAAAAGTGGTGTTGAGAAAAAGGATGCTGAGTTGGTCAAGAAACGTTGGCTGACTGTGAATCTTTCACGGCTCTCTAAAATTCAGGCACTGAGTACTATTCAATCCGAAATGGCAGGCTCATATTTCTTGTTCTGATACCTCACCTGTGAGTGACTCAACGTTGGATCACCGAAAAGCGCCTACAATTTCGTCCCGAGAAGTATGTATTTCTTTTTCTTAACCTCGCTTTAGTGTGGTGTTGGTTGTGTAGAGCTATGAGTCTGTCCGTCTAGACTGCAGAAAGCGAGGTCGTTCGACCCGTCAACCCGTTGAAGCTTGGCCACACGTTGTCAACACTCAATTTCCGAACTTGCGACCATGAATGATGATGATGATGATGATGATGTATTCATTTGCCCGATGTAGCTCGCTCTATATATATGCTGCTATGCGGGAGTGCTGTCAGGCCTGCCGACAGCTGGAAGGTGGTCGCCAGCCCACTGGGCGACCGTCAGGGAACTCGCCTTGCGAATTTCTGATCAATCGCCCTCGAATCGAAAGACGTAAACTAAACAAAAGAAATGCACGGATGCAAACATGATAAACACAAAGCCAAAATGAACGTCATTTACCCCTGGTCGCGGGTAGGACCAGGGTCCCGCTTCAACACACCATTCCCACGCCCTCTTCTCTCCAACTGTCCAGTCTTGTCGGCTGCCGCTTGCGCGCTCGCTTGGATCAAGGGAGTACAGTGGACCTGGCACTGCACTCCTAATGGGCGCCATCCTTCTTCTTCCGTCACACTGTCTAAGGGATCATTGTCTCCGCTCCTTTGTCGTCCCCTTCCTCGCCCAGAGCCGTAGGGTCGACTGTCTGAAATTGGCCTAGGAGGCCGGTCTTGACCATGAATTCGGCCACAACTGTGCGGGCCTCCGGTCGTGTGAGGAGTTCGTCCCGGTGGAGAGCGACTCCCTGGTATGAGAGAGCGCTTCTCATCCAGTCTCGCTCGTCCTGGTGCAAGGGGCATTCCAGTAGGACGTGTGTTACTGTTTGGCTGCCAAGATCGCAATCACACCGCGCTGTTTCGCGTCGGTTGATACGATTCAGGTAAGCCCCTAGGCCAATTCGCCCAGTTCTAAGCTGCATCAGAATCGATGTCGTCGCTTTGCGCAAGCCCGTCCAGTATTCCAGCGTCTTCTTTGTTGGTGCTTCAATCAAGCGTTTCGTCGGACGACTGGTCGCTTCCTTGGCCCACGTTCTGTCCCACTCCAGCTTCGCTTCTCTGCGAATTCGTCGTCTCGCTGCGGCTGCGAGACATATGTCTCGGTTGAGGGGGTTATGCAGCCCGTCCTGTTCCTGCGCCGCTTCTTTTGCGTGTTGGTCCACGATCTCGTTGCCAATGACTCCTTGGTGCGCAGGAATCCATCTGAGTTCTGTCCGAATGCTTCTGCCCGCAAGTTGTCGGATCAGGTTGAGGCATCCTGCTAGATAGACCTGTCCTGACGGCATCCGCGGTCGCCTCAGCGCCTTCAGCGCTGCTTGGCTATCTACAAAGATGACTACCCCGTTCTTCGCCTGCTTAGCCCATGGCTCTGTGCTTTCCAGAACCATTTCAAGTGCCATCTCAATGGCTCGAAGCTCTGCCGCATATACGGTGGACGTATCATCATCTCCCATCTGGCTATGAGCATGTTGATCCTCAAGGTCCACGACCGCTGCCGCTCCGATCCTTCCATCAATTC